TCGTATATACATAAAATTGAAATATTACTCAGCCTTAAAAGGATACAAATTCTGATATATGCTACAACACAAAACTTATGCTAAATGATATAAGCCAATCACAAAAAATGTTACAGGATTCTATTTATGACACACTAACAATACTCAAAATCAGAAACAGAAGGCAGAATGGTGGTTAAAAGGGTTGGGGGAGGAGGGGAGGAGTTATTTTTTAATGGGTACAAAATTTCAGCTCTGAGAAGTCCCAGAAATGGTGATAGTGATGGTTGTAAAAATGAATGTAAAGGCACTTGACTATATACTTAAAAGTAAAATATATAAAAGCATGGGCTGTCCTTCAGGGTCCATCAGCTATGGTGCAAGTGGGACATGCACAGTTGAGAGTACCCATCCTGAACAACTTTCTTGAGCCTTGGAGACTAGCTCACAATGGATCTTTCTTTTGTTCTTTGCTATGAGTAATAAACTAGCCTCATATAATTTGCTCAATGTGTGTTGTATCACCACACTCAGGCAATGGATAAAATTGCAGCCCAAGGTACAGTGAGTGGAAGAGTTTGGACCCTATTTCTGCTTGTTGGCATAATGATGGTCTTTGCTATATGGCACACAACAGGAGTTGGGACTGATATATTGTCTTTAAATCTAAATTACCTTTCTCCATTTATTTGGGACTTCTTTCAGGGATGTTATTTTTTTTGTTTTGTTTTTCAATGTATGGGTCTTGATTAGCAGTAAATTTATTATGAAGTACTTCAAGGTTTTGGTGAGTTACAAATTCAACCAGTTAAACTATTTTCCAACAGTTTATTGCTGCTACATAAAAATACAATCATTGCATATTAGTTATATACCTTGTGCTCTTCCTAATTTCACAAAAAATTGTTGGTTAGATTTTCTAGGTAGGAAATCATTTCATCTGTGAATATAAAGCATTTCCTTGCTTCTCTTTATACCCATTTTATGTACTTTTTTTTGCCTTATTAAAGTGGCTAGTTAACGTGCATGCTAATAAGCTTGAGAAAAAAAATGTACTGATGCCTGTAACTCATTTTAAAGTGCATCAAAACCAGAAAATGATGGGTGGATGAACGGACAGTTATATAACAAACCAACTACAGTTAAATGACCATTATAAAATATTGATGAGTGATGTCAATTTTTAAAAATTTACTTGAAACTTTAATCAGATATGAAAATCAAAATCAAACAAATGATCCACTTATGAAGAGGCTATAAATACAAGCAAGAAAGGAGAAAGGACAGTATAAGGTTCTTTTTTTAGACAAGATAAAATTTAGTGGAATCCAAGGCACAGGTGGAGGGATTAGGCTAAAAATGGAAGAGGAACAGCTTTTCTATTCTATCAGAAGACAGGATGCACACAAATGCAGGTACAGGAACATAGGATGCATACAAATTAAGGCACAGAAATATGGAATGCATACAGATTTGTTTTTGCTAGCTAGCTGATGAAGAGGTAAGGTTATCTTTTCCAAATTAAGTTTTGAAAGAGACATTGTGGAGACTTGATTAGAGAAACATAAGTTTGTTTGGGCAGTGTTGAGGGCCAGTAACTGGTAACTGTGAATTTATTAAGACAAAGCCTGTGCTCCTGTCTGGACCGAGTTTCTCATCTGTAAAATAGGATAATGTCTAGCACAAAGCCTGTTCGAGTTAAGAGAAAGCCCATAAATAACCTAGAAGAGTGCTCACATAAAGATACTTAATGTTATCCTGGTGAGGCTATGTAAAGTTCTTTACATGCCTACAGCTAGTGCTTATTTTGCATAGCAGCTCTGCAAGAAGTCACTTAAGTTTCTTATGCTTCTATTGTATATTAAACAGAAGGCAATGTCAAGGGGCAATCAAAATAAGGTACCAAACCACGTAAGTTACCATACAATGTTTGTAAATCAGCATTAGGCTATCATTCAGACTGGAGCTAAGGTTTATATAATGTAAGAGAAGAAAGTACTTAATTGTAAGTTTTGTATACCAAGATCAAAATGACAACATCATGTGATAATGCTCCAAATTTCCATGGGAATTGTAAAAAGGAAAGAAACCGGAGCAAACAGCTAATGAAAGTTGTTCATCAATTTGAAAAAAATAAGGAAATGATTGTATTTTACTTGGGAAATTCATACAAAGAAAATAGCTACCAAATTGAAATTTTTAATTTTTAAAATTTTTTTTGGTACCAGGGATCAAACTCAGGTCCTTGCGCTTGCGGGGCAGGTGGTGGAACCACTGAGCTAAATCCCTGGCCTCCGAAATTTTTTATTTTTTTGAGTAATGTGTTTCATGATTTAGAGTGCTGTAATTAAGAAATAACATTTAAAATATTAGTACTCAATGTAAGTAAACACAGACAAATGAGTTTTTGTGATGTATATTGGACAACTTCAAATCCTAGGAACAAAATTGTTATTTATATCATATTATAAAAATATTAAGTCAGAGATTTCTAGTGTCCAGGGAGGGAGACTGTGACTTATAGATCACTCACTACCAAATAGATATAACTAGGGTCTCAGAAAAGGGGACGAAAAAAAAATCTGAAGAAAATGGTCTATTTTTCAAAATTTGCTCAGATCTATAAACTCACAAATCCAGAAGTGCAATAAACTCAAGGTAATAGCAGGATAAACACAAAGAAAAAGCACACCAAGATATATCACAATCAAACTGTTTAAAACTAATCAGAGAGCCAGGGATTTAACTCAGTGGTTCCGCCGCCTGCCTTGCAAGCAAGCACAAGGTCCCAAGTTCAATCCCAGGTACCAAAAATAAATAAATAAAGGAAACTAATCAGAGAAACTGAAAATCTTACAAGTAGCTATGTGAAGTAAAATTTTAAAAATACTGTGGAAAAAGAGTAAAATGATAATAGATCTCTTTTCAGAAATAGTGCAATTGAGAAAACAAAGTATATAGAAAAAACAAAACAAAAAAGCAAAAGAAAAATACATTTCGAATAAATCCATTAAAAATGCTTTTTAAAAAACAGAAAATAAAAATATATTGGATCAAAAAAAACTCCCAAAAATTTTTACAAGAATACCAAAAGGTGTTTTTTTCAGGCTAAAGGAAAATAATACCCACCTGAAATGTGAATGTAAAACATGTAATGAAAAACACAATCAGTGAAAGTCTATTTCTACTAATAGAAACAGGAAGACATGGGGTTATTTTCCTGCATAGGAAAGTCTTAAGTATGAAAAAAATTGTCAAAAAACAGCTACTTAGGGCACTAAAAATTGATCAAAGTCAGACAACATGCTGAAAAATGTTTACTCTTTAAAGCAGCTCATCTTTGGATAAAAATAGCAGCACTATGGTCTGCCATGCCTGTTGATGAAATTATATACTCCTCACTTGTATTAATCCATTGTTTTTCACTATTCTAACAAAATACCTGAGGCTTGGTAACTTTCATTTGACTCACGGTTCTGAAGGCACAAGAGCAAGGGGTTGACCTTCTTGCTGGTATTATCCTGAGGCAGCACCAGTTATCACATGGCGAGAAAGGGAGCATGTGGTCTTATAAATTTTCTGGTCTCTCTCCTTATAGTCACCAGCAATTCACATAAGAGGCTCCACTCTGATGACCTTATCTAATCCTCATTACCTCCTAATTACCTCCTTAAAGCCCCACCTCTAAACATCACTGTGGATTGTTTCCCAACTCTTAATACTTGACAATGGGGATTAAATTTCAGCATAGAAACCCTTGGGGTACACACTAAAACCAAATCTAAACCATAGCCTGTGGTCAGTAAAACTTGTAGCTTTATACATTCAGAGCTGCTTGTGGTCACAGTCGTAGATCTGACAAAGTATAAGGAACAAGGAAAACCTGTAACTTTATTGGATGAAATCTACACATGTGGTTCAAAAAGGAAAACCTGTATATAACTGTCCTAGCCTAAAGTTACAGGTCTGGTTCAAGGTATCAGAAATTAAACTGAGAAATTCTGGATATTTAAGAACAACATGAGACCTAGAATAAGCTCACACATATACCCATCTGATTGATTGCTAAGCTACAAAATGAAAGGGACAATGGACACCAAGAAGTGGTCAAACTACACGAATATTCTTCGAGTCCAAGCATTTGAAATAATGCTTCTTTTTAGTAACTATACTCATCTGAATCACTGAAATATACTCATGCTATGTCATTTTGTTTGTTTTTTGGGGTTTTTTTTGGTACCAGGGATCGAACTCGGGTCCTTGCGCTTGCGCAGCAGGTGACGAAACCACTGAGCTAAATCCTTTCCCCACTATGTCATTTTAGAGTTCTTAAATTCCCTCCAAGAAATGTAATTCTGGAGGGATAGAAAATAATCTTCAAGTGTAAAGCTCCCTCAACAGGTGACAGACTGGACAGAAGAGAATGGCAGGATCAAACAAAGTATACTTGAAAAACAAATGTTTAAAGTAAATCAAAGTCATTTTCCTGAACTCTACAGTTTCTAGTTGTGTCCTTTCAATATACTTAAATAGTATAGGAGCAATTATTTAACTCCAAAGATAATGAATAGTAGTTCACCCAGGAAATATTTTTAGAAATACAAATAAGACATGACTAAGTAGTTAGTTAATTTATTTATTTATGTATTTTTTTTCCCTACCAGGGATTGAACTTGGGCCCTTGCGCTTGTGAGGTAGGCACCAGAATCACTGAGGTAAATCCCTGGCCAGTAGATAGTTTATTTCACCCATAGCTCTCCCAATACAAATTGTATGTAGATGCTGATTCTGGAAAACATTTGGAAGAATCACTGATTGAAATCAGAACATCATGCTTTCCAATCCATCCTCCATGAACTTCTTATAAAGTGCCATAAATTTGGCCACAAATGCTTCCAAGTGATAAATGGCTTTGCTACCCAGCTGTAGACGATGTTCATAATAAGCTGCCATCTGGGCTACTTCCCCTTTCAGTTGTCCATCACAATTATGTAAAAGTTCTGAGAGCAGACCCTACAGAAAAATAATCAGTAACTTAAAAAGTAATCATTTAAAAAATTAGCCAAACAAGCTTTATTTCTCTCATTCCCCCAATATAACTTAAATATGCTTTTTATATATATAGTATATGAGAACTTTCTTTGATAATAACTAGTAGTCCTCATCCAAAACCAAAAAACTTCTTTTGAAATGTAAAAATGTAGTGAAGACCTACCATACTCCAAATCGCAAACACAAATGGTCCCTGATTTTCAATACTCCGACTTGACAATTTTTGAGCTTTATGATGGTATGAAGCCAATATACATTCATCATACTTTGAATTTTTGATCTTTTCCAAGGCTAGTGATACATGGTACTCTCTTAAGATGCCGGGGCCAAACTAGTTCTGTCAGCCACACAATCACTAGGGTAAATAAGCAATATTCTAGACCAGTGGTGGTGAAACTATGGCACATGTGACACAGCCAGCTGTTTGTTATCACTGAAAGCATTAAAAGGTTCAGGATCACTGTTCTAGGCACTGTACTATGTTGTTAACCTATGATGTTCCAGTAAGTCAGGTATATAGAATGATTTTTTTTTCAAGACAAGGTCTTTGTTATCCAGGCTGGTCTCTAACTCTGGCAGCCAAGTGGTCCTCTTGCTGCAACCTCCCAAGTAGCTGGGATTTTAACTTAAAACATCTTCAACTTTAATGGGTTTATCAGGACATAACTTTGCTTTAAATAGAGGGACATCTGTATTATACTGCAGAAGGGTGCAAGAGAAAGATATAAATATATTTACTGCAACAATATTTATAATAATAATCTATAGGCAATCTAAAGTTCCAATAGAGGCCATATTAAAAAACATGATACTCATGACATGACAGATTACCAAAAACTTAAGATAGTCTTTTTAGTACGATAAAATACTGAAAAGAACAAGATAAATCTGTAGTTATAGCACAACATCCATACTACTGAATAAAAACATGGTGCAAGAGCACAGAAATTTTGTGAAACTACACACACACACATACATATGTATTTGATTATCTGTGAAAAACTCAGGTCTGTTAAAAGTGGTAACTTTTATAAACAGATAAATGGACTTTCACTTTTTTCTTTCCGTAAAGTGGTATCATTTTAATTATTTCATGTAAGCATTACTATGTAACTTTAATTAAAACAAAAACCCCTGCAATCCCTAGTATTTAGCAATAAATAAATTTAGCTAACTAGGTAGCTGAGACCAAGGATATACAGTTTGAACTCCTGTACCTTTTTTCCTATCATCTCCCACGTACACTGAATTTTGCTGTCTGAAATGCTTATTCTCCAGGTATTCACTTGGTTCTCTCTTCTTAATCCACAGTCTGAGCTTAAACCTACCTTCAGGAAAGAAGTCACTTAGAGCCATCTATAACCACACCCTCCATTATCATTTCACCCTATTTCCTTATAACATTTATAACATTCTGAAACCTACTTGTTTCCCATTTCCCTCTACTAGAGCATAACTTCCCTGAAGGCAAGTCCTCCCCTCCTCCTTTCATAGTCCCCTAATGTTGCCTGCCACACAACAGAGGCTGAGTGATTACCTATGGAATTAGTGAGATGGAGAGAAAGAAGTGGCAATGTATCTTAGTACTATAAAAACTCCGTGATACACTCAAAATCCAAATTTCATGGTTATAAACAATTCAAGTTCTGAAACTGTGTTACCTTCATTATTATCTCAGGAGGAATACAATGAGTTAGAAGCTCATACAGCCTTCCACGAACTTCAAGGAGTCTATAAAAAACAAAATAATTGCTATTTGGTGATGAAAATAAGGAACAGCTTAAACTAATACAGACATATTTTCTTCTATTGCTTATCATACTGAGGATGCACATGTAGATGGTTCTAATTTCAGGGTTTTTTTAAAAAGAAAGTTTCAGAACTCTTATAAAGTAGACATTTATAAGCAGGGTTATTCACTATATCAACCATGAAAATGACAGTTAGGAATTAAGACTTCATGAATGGTGTAGGTCAAGCTTATTCACACCATGGAATTTAACTCTTTAATGACATGTCAAGTCTTATGTATATTTTTTCTTCAGATAAAAACTGCATAAAATATCTAGAAAATGGCCATGAAAAATTTAAGCAGTCACTAGTTAATGACACAACTGACAAGAGATAATGTGAGTATAAAACAACTTTACTGTTTAGACTGCACAGAAAAAAAAAAAAAAAAATGGAGAAAAACACAAAGTAAAAATAAACATTTAACCCCTGAGCCCTTAACCCCTTAACTCCAGGCCCTTCTCATAACATTTTCAGGAAAAGAAATAAAACCTGATAATAATAAAGCATAGTCAAAACAAATGACATGATATAAAATTATTTTAATATATGATATAGCTTATTTCCAAAAAGGCAATTCAGATTTACCTATACAGTTGTGAGCTGTAGCTATACTGTATGTATGCACCTTACACATGGTAACATCTGTCTTGTGTTAGTCTAAGTTCATTTGTAATATAACTTAGTTTCTGAAGATTAATATGTATTAAACTTACTACACTGGTCCCATTATTTCTTTTTTTTTTTTTTTTCGGTACCAGAGATCGAACTCGGGACTTTGTGCTTGCAAGGCAGGAGGTGGAACCACTGAGCTAAATCCCAGCTCTCTCATTATTTCTTGATGGGCTGCAAGTGATTAAGACTATACACTCTTCTTCAAAGAAACTTGGTTATTCTAGAACTGGTTCTGACTCTTAATAACTGACTGTCCCTGAACAAGTTAATCTCCCTAAATGTTTTCTAGAATAAAAATGTTTTTCTCATTAAGACTTTTAAGAGTTAAATGAGACAACAGTGCAATCAATCACCAAATATTAGCTCGTATTCAAATTAGAAAATTATGACCATTCTTAGATCAAATGAATATTGAGAACAAATACTGCAGCAAAATTAAAGAGTCAAAACTCCATAGTAATTTGGATCTGACTAGACCAATGATCAAAATGATACCAGTCTGCCAGTATTTCTGGCCAGCCACAAGAATTTCTGAAATTAATCAAAATTTCTTCATATGTAACACAATGGAATCAATTGCCATAATTATTAATTTAAACAGGAATCAGGAGCATCCCTTCTCATACAAGTTCATTTATGAGTTTCCAACACTTAGTAGGAAAATTGGAGGAAATGGTAGCAACAACTAGGAAAATTAGCCAAAGCAATAATCAAGTAAAAATTTTTAAGTATATCTGATAATTGTTACATATTTACATATCTGTATCAAAATCCTTTAAAAGTAGGAAAGCCTACTGCCAATATTTCTTCTTTAAAAACAAAAGTTACCTCCAGTGTGAAAGTATTTTACAAAAGTACTAAAAGCTCCTACGATGTGTTTTATTTGAATTTTATCTCATAAACACTGAAATTTATTCACTGCTAACAACATTTAACAAAATTGAATAAATACTTTTTCCTAAAAACATCGTTTCTTTTCTTATGTGGCTACTTATAAAGTCTGGCTCTTTTTTTTTTTTTTTTTTGGTACCAGGGATCAAACTCAGGACCTTGAGCTTGAGAGGAAGGCGTGGTGCCACTGAGTTAAATCCAGGGCCCAGTTTGCCCCTTTTTGAAAACTTTTTTCAACTAAACAACCTGAAATATAAGAATTTGAAGTACACCCTAATAAAGTACTAAGTACCACTATGTATCACTATCTACTGCCGCGATTTATATGGTAGCCAAAGAATACATATTATAATCCCTTTAAAGAAGGGATTATAAAATCTGTAATTTATCAGATATAAAAGCAGTATAGTCCTCTCACCATTATTTTCATTTAAACCAAGGAAACTTAAATTCTAGTGGCTGCACTCAGTCTATTCTGCACCCTTAAATGCTCATAAAAGTCCAAAGATGGTCTCTCAGTTCTAACTGGCAGTAAGTATATAAGGCTGTTCTAAGGACCCTGAGAAACCACTGATACACTTTCCAAAGTTACTGGGCCTTATGACTTCATTTCTTATTTGGAGAAGTACAAATTGTCTTTCTCAATTAAAGCTGTCATAAATTAAGTAACTAGTATGGTCCACCACTGAATAACAAGACTTAGAGAAGTAAATGGAAACAATGTTGTAGTAAATGTGCAAAAAAATACTTCCGAAGAACCAATGGTATATACACAAAATTACTAATAGAATCTACCATCAGGTTTAAGTAGAGTTCTCTAGCTCTCAAATCATTATCATACAATGTGTTTTGCTCTTCCTAACAAATACACAAGTGTACTTGGCAGGGTAATAAAAATAGTATCTTCATTTATACAAATGAAAAAGCTGGAACTCCAAAATGAAGTTACTCGCTCAAAGACACTTAGCTAAACTGGATAAGAAGTAGAAATCTGGTGTCTTTCTAGCACATTATGCATCAACTACAAACCTGTATACTGTTCTTTTTAATATGAGAAACCTAGATATATTGTCATGTATAAGTTTAAATCACCTACGATTTTGAAAGAAAAATGAAAAACTCCAAGATTTATTTTATCTAAAAACTCTATGTTTACATGTTAACAGCTTTAAAAAAAGTCATGACACCATATATCAACTGTTCTGAACTACTAAATTTCTGGAATTAAATCCTACCTTTTCTTTTAAAGTTCAATATTTGGACTCAAGATTTAATTAAATTTCTAAATGCTATGGTATTAACATACAGCAGCCATTATCCATACTATCCTAATGATTGAACCTTTAACATCATCTTATACTAGTTACCTCTGTGGTGTCTGCTGACTGACAATAGCATTTGCTGTCTCCCTCAGATAAACCTCCCAATCTGTCTCAGGGATTTCTTGATCGGCAGTAAAAGGATACCTACAGGACAGAAAGAGAACACAGTGAGTTTAATACAAACATGCTTATGTACCAGAACATTACCTGCAGTAACTGCCCCTTCTACTCACTGTTGCACTCTGCAGGCTTCAGACATAAGTAGAGCTTTTCTGAGATTTCTGCAGGACTTTTCTGCAATTCTCTGAGCCAGCTGAGAAGGAAGATTCAGGCCTTCCTTTTTGCACACAGTAGATAACACATGGCAAATCTACAAATTAACAAAAAATGAGCAATCTGTCAAAAAAAAGTATTGAGACAATTTGTAGATATATCTATAGACCTTTATAACTGTATTCCTTAAATTTTTTATAAGTAAAACTTACAAAGATAACTTACCACTTTGAATTTAGTGCAATGTCATACATTACTGTTTTGCACAAAATCTCCCAAAACCCATTAATAGCTGGACAGCTGCCCATTGTGAGAATTAGTATTTTACTGATAGACATTAATGATAATGAAAAACAGTATGTACACTGTTGTTTCAGGCTTTGATTCCTTACCTATGCACTAAGTTCCCATCATCTCCTTTCCAAATATACTTCCTCTATACAATATTTGAGTTTCCTCCTACAACCAAATAATTCAGCTTGAGGCATAAGATACTAAATAATTAGCCCACATCTAGTTTCATGGAATCTTGTTTAAGGTAAAAGATGGTTTAAAGAAAGAAGAACACATTCTATATCTAAATACACTAAGATACATTAAATATACTAAAATATATTTACTAAAATATACATTGGTTTGTGCATCTAAAAATGGTTTTTATCCAGGTCTATGCATAATTTTTCTTGAATTACTGATATGCTTCACTGTTTTTACAAAAACAAATATGTCAGGGAAGTACAGGGATAATTTTTTTCTGAAAAGTTTTATTTAACTTACATCTTCAATGCTGGGAGCAGGCACACGAACTGCCAGGCACCTACTACGAATAGGGGATATCACTTTAGATGTAGAATTGCAGCATAAGATCAATCTGCAGGTTGACATATACTTTTCCATGGTTCTGCGCAAGGCATGTTGAGCATCTTTAGTGAGTTTGTCAACTTCTGTCAATAATACCACTGAATCAAAGACAAACAAAACATACTTTAACTACATGTCATTCAAACTTTAACTTGTCTTCTTTGCTTTCTTCTCATTATTCAAAGTAAAAGCCTATACTATTCTTTTTTGGCAGAGGAAATTAAAGTTATTGATATGGTAAAAAAAAACACCTTATTTTTTAGTTCTTAAAAAATTTATAATTAGGCCAGGAATTTAGCACAGTGGTTCCTTGTAAGTGCAAGGTCCCGAGTTCGATCCCCAGTAAAAAAAAATATACATATAATTAAAGAAAACTAAGAAACATGGCAAAATGACATTAAATAAGTACTTTGCTGCAGAATTCACTGCAGCCTTTATTTATATGCACTAAAATTTACTAAGACAATGAGGTACTATGCTGCATCTTAAATTGTAAGGACTATATTTTGGAAAACACTGCTGAAGAGATGTAGCCAACAAAGGCATAAAGACATCTGGCTTGTATACATTAAGATTCCATCTGGCCACTATCTAGGATGAGCATAAAAGTGACTCAAGGAACAGTATGCATGTGAATCTAACTTTTGTTATCTTTCATTATATTAATGAATTATTTGCAGAAAATGGCAGTAGTAGTATTTGAATCTCTCCATAAAAGCAAGTAGAACAAACTTTCCAAAAACAATGACCTGTAAAAATTTATACCAAAACTAAATGTTAAGTTTTACCTAAGAACTTCAAATACAAACAAGTGAGAAGCAACTGCCATTGAAAAGACTCACATGGTATCAGGACCTATAGGAGAAGTGGCAGAAATCCACATCTTTGACAGCTGTTAGGTCAGGAGAACCCCCAAATTGTCCACAAGTAAACACTGGAAATCATCATGGGCCAAAGTGAAAACAGCAGTCTTAATTAGGAAGCAGATTCTGTACACACCACATCATGGATGAGATCAAGGGATCCTGATAAAATGAGGTCTGACAAAGCAGTAAGATTCTGAAACTAACAATGCTCCCTACTAAATCAATGCTTTACAACCCCAGAAATAAAACACAAATTGAGCAGAAGAGGAAAAAGACAAAAGAAAGTATGCAGAGGGTAAGACAGAAGATAAAGCTCAGGACACAAGGCCATATACTTCACTTGCTTTGTGAACATAAAAGAAGGGTCAACTCTTTGAGCCTTGAACTTAGAAAAAACGTCTCTGGCCTCTTCTTCCATCCTAAGAGTACTTGAGAACTCATTCACTTTTTAAAAAAATGATTAACAGAAAAGGATCACAACTGAGTTTAGAGTACAAGAAAAAGGAAAAGAGCAAAACATCTCTATGGGTCAGAATAGTTAAATATTTTCTAAAATGTAACTTAAATATTACTTTTTTAATGTAACAGTAAACTCAATATAAGAATATGTTTAGTATTTTTAGTGATGTTAGTCTAAGTCTTGGAATATTTTAAGCATTTTTAATGACCTTAATACATTTTGCTTTTAAAAAGTAATATATCATCACCAAGTGAGAAATGCAAAACAGTTTTAATATTAGAAAATCTAATAATAGAACCTATGATTCCAATACAAGAAAAAAATCATAGAACCATATTCATGGTTGTGGAAGAAGCATTAAACAAAATTAAGCATAGAGATTCATATTAAAAATACTGAACAAATACTTTGTTAGCATGATCAAATATATTTACCTCATGCCAAAATTCACTAACTAAATGGAGAAATCCTAAGGCTTCCCTCCAGAACTGTGACATGGATGTCTGCTGTCTCTGCTACTATCAAACAACACATTAGCAATTCTGGCCAACATAATTGGACAAGAGAAAGTATTTTAGAGCCATACAAACTGGAAAGAAAGGGAAAAAAGCTGTTTGTATTCATGTCTGATATGTATATATGTCTGAAAAATCCAAAAGAAATTATGAAAAGATTATTTCAATTAGAAAATTTAGTATAGAAAGATATAACATTAAGATATAAACATCAATAGTTTCCATATAAATGTTAGAAAACATTAGACGTGTTAACATTAATGTGTTAATATTAACATTAATGTAAATTTAATGTAATTTAATGTAAACATTAAATGTGCTAACATTAAGTAAACACATTTACTTGTACAGTAAAAAATAAATTCACAACTGTAAATTTATTTTAAAATATTGAGACTAAGGCGGAAAGACAGGAAATAGGCTAAGAATAAGCACAGGTAATTCACAAAACAAAAATAAGCTATTAAAAAAAAAATCACACTCAACTGAAGAAAAACAACAAACTTATAAATATTAAAAATAATTACCTGCAGTGTAGATAAATGTTTAGGAGAAATGAGCATTCCCAAACATTGCTACTGGTAATATAAGCCTGCATCCTCTTTCAACTGAATTTGGCAATATATATATCAAAAGCATTACCTTTGGCTATTTTTAGTAACATCTTCCCTGTAAGAAGTGCATGCAAATGTATAGGCATAGGAAAATATATATTGGGAGGCCGAAACCAAATTGTCTTTAGTAGTTATCTCATTTTAATTTTCTTCCTGTTCACTGAAACAGCTGATAATGAATATGAAACTTAGGTAATAAGAGCAATTTTTAAAAATTGTATAATTTGTTATAAAGTGATTTTAATACTTATTTTGTTTTAAAACATCAAATAAATCCCCAAAATAGTATTCTTTCCCATAAAATTCAATTCTATTAGACTTTTCCCATAAGTACAGAGATCATACCACCTTGTTCACTTTAACAACTCAAAAAAAAACAAAAAACAAAAAAACAGTAGGGAAGCACTAGTGCTCAGCAATCTCAGTCACCTTTTCTTCACATACCTTTAAAATCTCTTTGAGAGTTTGTTTCAAGTTGCTGTGACTGTGCCACTGTTTTCAACATCTCCTGAATTACTACTCGATCACTATTGCCAGCATCACTATGCAAAACAAGAGTAAAGATACATATATGTAAATGTTTACAAAGCAATTATGCCCTCTTGTTATTGTGAGAAAAATGCTGAATGTCTAAGTGGTTAAAATATTGGTCAAAACTAGTAACAATCGTGAAATGCTTTAGTCATTAAAAATATTAACAATATTCTAGCTGGACTGTCACAGAAAACATTAAACATGTTCTTACATTGTTTTACTGTTACTTAAAATGAATAATAAATAACTGTTTAGCAAATATTTTTGACACTCCTGTGCCCACTGTAGAAATACCTAATTTCTCAGTTATCTGCAATTATCAAAATATAAAAATCACCCAAAAAATAAATGTAATTTCTATTCATCTCTATCCCAGTTTGTATAAAGGCCAGAGAGCAAATAAGCCTACAGAAGTCTGTACCCCATACTAGCAGGGAGCCAATTCAGGGACTCAGCTAGGGGACAGAATAAGCAAACTGAGTTTAAGACATAAACTGCTGGATTAGTATGGGCATAAACCTGTCATTTACACTCATGTTACTTCCCAGCACTTCATAAAGCACATCAAAACAACAGAAGTCATCTAGTCAAGTTAGAGTGAATGAATGTTTTAACAACCAGCTTGATCTCTAGCCATATCTTCCCTCAAAGGCACTCACACACCACCCACCCACACACACACACACACACACACACACACCACCAAAACCAAGAAAAGGGGGAGTAATAAAGAAATTACCTTTATTTTCCCAAATAACCATTAAGTTTATCCCAAAATAATTAGATCAATATACCTAAAATGGCTTTTTTATGATCATATTTCTAGCCAAGAATCCCAAATAAGCCCGGTGATAGCACACACCTGTAATCCCAGCACTCAGGAGGCTGAGGCAGGTAGATTGCTGGGAACTGGAGGCTATCCTGGACTACATAGTGAGTTCAAGGCCAGCCTGAACTACATAGCAAGACCCTATCTCCCCCGCCCAAAAAAAGAAAAAAGAATTTCATACATTTCTCACTTGTCCATGGAATTAGCACTCCTATTTTTATATTCAGATGCATTCTCACCAGTCTTATTTCTCTTAATTTTCTCTGACATGCCTAGGGAAAATTACAATACGTATCTGTTGGGTCATTTTAGCAACATAACCCATGTAGAGTGTCTCACTCAGTGCCTACTACTGAATGTCCTGTATATATTAGTTTAAACTCTTATTCCTTTGCCAGGGATTGTGTACATACATGCCTGTAATCTCAGCACTCTGGGAGGCTGAGGCAAGAAGATTTCAAGTTCAAGCCCAGCCTGGGAAACTTAGCAACTTAGAGAAACCTTGACCCTGAAAAGGAGAGCTGGGGAGAGCTGCCCCAAGCACAGGGGAGGTGAACCTTCCAGGCCACTGTACCACTGCCTCCAGCACCAAGGAGCAGAGCTGCCCCAAGCACAGAGGAGGTGACCCTTCCGGGCCACTGTACCACTGCCACCAGCATCAAGGAGGTGAGCCACACGGGCTCCAGCAGCACACATTTCCCCCCACCCTTGAAATGAGAAGACACGTAAATAAGTCTCAAAACCAGACTTCCAGATCACATAAAGAAACCCCAAAGGGAAATGAGATAGAACAATCTGATGCTCAACCACCTGGACTCCCTCAACTGGCAACAAAATAGGATCTGGAAAAAATGAAATCAGAAATAATTTCTCAGATAACAGCAGAGATTGTGCCCATAGTGCAAGACATGATTAATAAATCTAGAGTGGACGCAGATAAAAAGATAGAGGAGCTGAGGAACATGATGGAATCTCAACATAGGAAACAAATGGAATCCATAGAACAGATGCAAACAGATTTCCAGGAGATTAAAAACTCCATCGAAAGTCTGCGCAGCAGAATGAGCCAATGTGAGGACAGAATTTCAGATATAGAAGATAAGATTGCAATTGGTGACCAGGAAAAGAAAAATTTCTCAAAAATAGTAAGGAACCATGAGAAATCAATCCAGTACCTGCTAAATGATGCAAAGAAGAATAACATCAGACTGACGAGTCAATGAATACACAGGAGAGTGTGCAGATGACATAAAAAAACTGTTCACAGAAGTGATGGCAGAAAACTTCCCAAATAGAGGAAAAGAACTTGACATACACATAAGGGAGGCATATAGGACTCCCAACTAGCCATGATCAAAAAAATCTACACATAGGTATATAATAGTTAAGAGTCCAGAAACCCAAGAGAAGAACAAAATTCTACAAGCAGTTAGAGAAAAGAAACAAATCACATACAAAGGAAAGCCCATGAGAATCACAGCAGACTTCTCAACACAAACCCACAAGGCAAGAGCGTGGAGTGACATAATTCAAGTCCAAAAGCAAAACAGCCTCCAACCCAGATTGATGTACCCTGCAAAACTATCTTTCAAAATTGATGGAGAAATAAGATACTTTCATAACAAAGAGCATCTTAGGAACTTCATGAATACCAAACCAGCACTCCAAAAAATTTTAGACAATATCCTAGGAAAAGGTGAGGATCACAACCCCAGGAAGCCCAGCAGAATGAATCCGTTGAGGGTGACAAGAAATTACATGCAAAAGGGGAGAATCCAACAAAAAGAAAAAGTCATGACAATAATAAGTCAATATGTATCAGTTATAACCATCAATGTTAATGGTCTCAATTCACCAATTAAAAGAAACAGATGGCAGAATGGATCAAGAAGAAAGATCCAACATTATGCTGCATACAAGAAACACACTTAATTCAAAAAGAAACTCATAGACTGAAAGTTATAGGGTGGAAAACAATACTCCATACAACAGGAATATGAAAATAAGCAGGAGTAGTAGCTATCCTCTTTGCAGATCAAGTGGATTTCAAGCCAAAATCTGAAACACTTCTGGTCCCAAGAATTTCAGATAAGGGACTGTCAACTTGTATGTACAAATACATTGTGAACATGTGGTTTTCATTCCTCTTAAATAAAAACTCAAGAACAGAATTGTTGGTTCTTAACAGTAATACAAGAAATTTCTATATTGTTTTCCAAAATGGTTTTATCATTTTACATTCACATTAGCAGTATTAGAAAGTTCTAACTGGTTCACACCTAAGCTGACATTTGTTCTTTTAAAACTTTTAACTTAATCTCCCTAATAAGTGTATAATATGATCTTGTTATTGTACTGATTAGTATTTTTCTGATTCTAGTGTTGTACACCTTTCTTTGTACTGAACTGGCTGTTTATCAGCTTTTGTGTCTATTTTTTAATTGGGTTGTCTATTAATGAGCTGTAAGAGTTCTTTATATGTTCTGGTCATAGGTTATATGTATTATAAATATGTTCTGGTTAAGGACTACTTTTCCTTTTCTTAACGATGTCTTTTAAAGTTCTAAATTTTGATGGAATCTCATTTATCAGTTTCTTTCTTTTAAACATCATGTTTTTTATATTCTAGGAAATTCTTGCCTACCCTAAATTCATGAACATTTTCCCTTATAATTTCTTCTTAAAAAGTTTTATAGTTTTAGTCTTTCATATTTAGGTTCATAGATCCTTTCAAGTTATTTTTATGTATGGAAATAAAGGGTTGAGGTTAATTTTTTATATATGGATACTGGGTGTTCTAGTACCGCTTGTTGAAAACACTATCTTTTCCTCTGCTCTTTAGCTGAGTTTATGTTCTATAAAATGTTAATGTTAAATACTCCTTCAAAAATCAGTGGACCATATATGTGCGGTTCTATTTCTAGATTCTGTGTTATTCCATTGATTTATATGTCTTTCCTTATGCCAACATTGCCTTGATTACTGCAGCTTTAGAGGAAGCCTTAAAATTAGGTAATAAATGTCTTCCAACACTGTTATTTTTTTTTTCTTTTTACTTTTCTAGGTCCTTTTACTCCTACATAACTTTTAAATTTCAATATCCAATTATTCATTTATAGCAAGTATACATAGACCTGAATTTTTATATATACCTTGTGTTTTCTAATCCTGCTAAATTCAAATACAAGTTCTAGGGGCTCCTAGAGATTTTAGTATTTTCTCTGTAGATGATCATTTCATCTACATATAAAGATTTTTACTTCTACCTTGCCAATCCTATGCTATTTGTTTCTATTTATTGCCAGGCTATTTTGGTTTGGGCCTATGTTTCAAAGTTTAATGGAAAGATGAAGAGTAGGCATTTCTGCCCTTGTTCCCCACCTTAGGGAGAAAGCATTGTATCTTTTCCATTCATATAGGCATTTTTGCTGGAAGTATGGAGTATATGTCTTTTATCTGTTGAGAAGGTTCTGTTCTACTTCTAGTCTCCTAATAGCTTTTACCATGAACAGCTGTAGAATTTAGTCCAATAGTTTTTCTGCAACTACTGACAGGATATGGCTTTTTCCTTTATTCTGTTAAAATGATAACTTATGGGGGTGGGTCTTCCAATGCTGAACCAACACTGCCATCCCTATAATAAAACCACTTTCCACATACTGCCAGATCTGACTTCCAATAGTTTGTTTCATTAAACAAATTTTTATCTATGTTTATACTTTTCTCTTCCATTATCTTTATCCAGTTTTAGTATTTGCACAATGTTGATTTCCTAAAATGAGGGGAGAAGTGTTCCTTCTTTTTTCTGCTTTAAATGTTTGATACAATTCATCAGTTAAAATGTGTATGAGCCTGTTGTTGCCATTTAAAGGTAGCTTTTCAAGCTAGGAATATACTTTCTTTAATAGGTGCTATTCAAATTTTGTATTTCTTCCAATCAGTTTCATTAATTTGCCTTCCAAGGTACTTCATAGAAGTTGTCAAATTTAATTCAAAAAAAGATTTTTGTAATATGATTTCTATATCCTTTTAAATTCTGTAAAATCTATGTAATGTCCTCTAAATCTTGATATTGTAATTTACAAAATGTATAATTGATATTGTGTAATAGGAAGAAAAGTTCTAAAGGAGTAGGGGAAGTGGGAGGTGTAGGGGAAAGGAAAGAAGAAAAAGAAAAAAAAAATGAGGAAAAAAATTGGAAACAAAGTCTTTGTAAATAGGGAAAGGTAGAGGGGGTAAAGGGAGGGCAGAGGAATGGGGAAAAAAGTTAGAACCACGATACGTCATGTAAAGGTACAACATCCCAATAATGAATGTAACTGTATTGTATGTCTAAAATGTACCAATAAACTTAATGGAAAAAAAAGAGAGAACTGGGGATATAGCTCATTGTGAAAGCCATGGTTTCCAATCCCCTATACTGAAAAAAAAAAAAAAAGAACTATTCCACCTGCTCCCTTCAATCTTCTTCCTCATCTTGAAACGAACATTCACGTTTGACTCTGTGCCATTGGGCATAAGGTTGCCTTTGCCTACAAAGGTCCTCCATTCTCCCTCAAGAACATATCAGGCCCCACAGAACAATAAAAGCTTTACTCAACTTTACAGCTGCTGCATGAGTTTTCAGTGTCTCCCACAAGATCTTAATCTTATTACTTCATAATAAACATACAGACATGAATGATGGACTATTATAATAACTTTGACCAAGAAACCAAAACACTGAGGTGGCAAAGAAAGATCTGCAACACAATTTTTCTGAAATATTTACTCCAGACACTACAAACTTTTTAGACAACACTTTCCTTGTCAGTACTGAATTTATATACTTCATTTAACAACATTTACTAACAATGAAATGTTCTTTGTGTAAAATAATGAGCTCTGTAGAGCAAGAAATTATTGTTGAAATTATATGACAGAAAAGACAAAGCAGGAAGACACTAGGTTCTATAGTTTTAGGAGGGCATCTTAACATTAATCTAAATTTTTTTGTGTTTTCTTATGTATTATTTTACTTCAAAAAAGGATTCTAATCTTAAAAAGTAGGTCTAAATGCTTACTTCTACCCATTTTTTTCTAAAAAAAGTTAGCAATTTACCTGGGATTAACTTCAAGGTGGTAATTGCTTGCAATAGTGCTGATTTCAATTTTTTTTTTTGATGGAGTCTGTGGACCAAAAAAAACAACAATAATAATAATAATTCAACATTCATTTATTGGCTATTCCCTTCTTTATATTTTCATTTGTTCTTACTTTGTTATATACACAACTGAAGCACGCTAAAAAAAAAAAACTTGAGATATTCACCTTTCATGCAACTCCATTAACCCCATTCTTTTCTTTTTTCCAGTACTGAAGATTGAACAAAGAACCTTGCACTGAACTACATACCCAGCCCCATTTATTTATTTATTTATGGTACTGGGAACTGAACCCAGGACCTTTACCTTTGTACTGAGCTACAACTCCGCCCCCCTGCTTTTAAGAGAGAGTCTTGTTAAGTCCCTAAAATGCCCAGATTAGCTTGCATCAGCCTCCCAGAGTATAGATTACTAATTTTTTCTTTTGAGACAGGGCTTTAACTGTAGTAAGTTGCCCAGGCTGACCTTAAACTTGTGATCCTACTGTCTCCGTCTTCCAAGTAGATGGGATTACATGTATGCACCACCATGCCTGGCACCTCATTTTTTTCTTAATGTGTTTATAATATACAAACTGACTCATATCATGCATTCCACTCTTATTATTTTTTCCTTTCATCTCCAAAATTCCCCAAATCATCCTCCATTATCATCAAATCATTATAAACAATGTGCAAATATCCTTTCGGTCCTTTATGTTAACACAAAAATAGAGCATATTTATTGTGTTTCCTGAAAAAAATAAAAATAACAAAAGAGGAAATCACACACATACCCCTGTGTTTTGCTTTCCCTATTTAACAATCTATGTTACCAATCCCTCTCAGACAACTAGTATAACAATACAGCTATGCATCAACCTGTATTGTGGGTGTTCCCAACTAGTAATACTGACAGGTATTTTTTCTGCTTTTTGCCTGTGTATGTATCTGTATGAACCAATCTGTTTTCAAAAATGTTCCAACAACTCACTTTCTACTGGCAACAAATACTCTTCCTCAACCTACCCCATTGATAGGAAGTTTCATTATGCCTCTCAATTTTTGCCCATTTGACTATGTAACAGACTCATACTGCTTGACTATCCTAAAAGGCAAACATCTTTACAGATGTTTACTGACTCCTTACATTTCTCTCCCATGAATATTTGCTATTTTCATTCTACCAGGTTGTTTTGCTGCTGTCGATTTGTAGAAATCACTACCTAACACGTTCCTTTCAAATATTTTGACATTCCTTTTTCTACTGATTTTATGTTTGTTATCCTTTGTCATACAAGCTTTTAAAATTCATAAATATCCAAGTATCTCTTTAATTTCTTCTCATTTCTGTTTTCTATTAAAAGGCAGTTCATATGGTCTAAGAAATTTTATTCTAGGATATTTAATGTCTCATTTTAAAACTTAAATCATCAATTTATCTATAATCTACTTTTATACATTGTATGTCATACAGATTCAAGTGTGTTTTCCTCCCAAGAGATGACTGGTTATGCTGGTACATTTTGCTGGCTCATCCTTTTCCACTGATTTGAAATAGATGCCCCACTCATAGTTTCAGGCTCTTTATTGCTTCACTGGTCAAATTCTCTATTCCCATACCAATATATTGTTTTAGTGTTAACATATGATTTCATATCTTATAACACAAGCCCCAATTCACTAATCTTTTTCATAATTACTTGAGGTAGTATCAGAAATATATTCTCCCATAGAGACTTTACGGTCATTTCATATAATTAAAAACAAATTTAATTTTTAATTGAAATTTCATTGAAATGTACACTACAATTTGGGGAAACCAGGCATGTTTAAAAGCAAGTCTCTTGTCTGCTACATCTTGACTTCTGATCTTCTTTGTATTTTGTCTTTCTGTAAGATATAGTTTTCTTCTTGTAAATCTTGCATTTTTCTTCTTAAATTTGGCCCTATGTTTCATAAGAATCTCTACTAGGATGCACAGTTGACTTATAAAACTCAATCTGTCTACACATAAGCTAATCAAGATTAGCCTAAAACCCACTTATCCTCACAAACAATCTATTGAAAGCAGTACCATCTATACTCAGCATTCATTTTTTCCCCCAATATATCATGTGTAAAAGACATTCTATCAGGGGCTATGAAAGATGTGAAAATGAGTATAATACATTTTCTACATAGCTTTAAAACAAAGTTTTGTCAAAATAGAAGATATATAAATAAGCATAATCCAGGCAAAACAAAAGTAAGTACTATAAAAAGTACAAACTACAAACTAATATAGAAGAAACATTAATTGCTCATAGAGTAGGCAAGACAGTCTTAGAAAACAGACATTTCAGCTACATCTGAAACTCCATCCATAAGGAAAGAGCAAGCTTGGGCAGGGCAAGACATAGGAAGTCTCTAAATGTCCCAATCTCCAGCTTTTTTCCCGGTCATTTGCTCCATCTTTAGGAGTCACTTGATTCTGTTTACAATTTTTTCAAAAGCATTTTTCCTTCTTTTTAAAATCTCAACTACTGCTCTCAAAACAATGAACTTCAGAAATTTGATTTCTAGCTCCAGCTGAAACATTCCCCTCACTAAGGTAAGCTGAAACAACTTTCACATTCTACATATTACCCAAAAGCTGCTATTGCTCAAATTTCCTAACATAAATGACTTTGCTCTGGTTACAATAGTTAGATCTACATATCTGTAGCTCTCAATACTGTACACTAGGATTATCTGTGAAATTGTTATGTAAGTCATCAATTGGAGGAAGTAAGAGTGCATACATAATCAGGATTGAAAATCTCTGCCATATATAATTTAAGGGTTTAAAAGTAAAATGCTTACTGTGATAGTTTGATGTTCAATTCTCAATTTTTCAACTCCAACACCATAAAGTTCACGGAGAATACACATAATTCTTGTTTTTTTTCCAGCACCTGATGGTCCATATACTAACAGGTGAGGAAAGTCACCACACTGCACCTGAAAAAAGAACAAAACATTTTTCCTTAGTCAAACTAAACTAACTGCACTATGTAGAACCAAGCTACTTTTTAAGTATCAAACATTTTGTGGGCCAACCCACAAACCCTATGAAACTCTGGAGGATCTATTTACTTTAAATTAGTATTCACGCAATATCAATGAACTAAAAATAGGAAAAACATCAATTTTTACACGAACTTTTCTAAAGACCTTCATATATACAAATAACCTTTTTGTCATTTTTCACTTTTAAAATTACTTATTAATTAAATCATATCTATAATTCTGAAAAAGGTTAGTATCTGAAGATCCGAGTGCTGAGCAAAGAACACTTCCATCAGCGTAATATATGTATTACTCTTTGGTCTTTAATAACTTATTTTCCCTAAGATCATTTTTTTCTTCTCCATTTTCCATAAGACTCAGTTGCACTTTGACAAAACAATGCCATTAGACAACCACAACAACAATAAAATAGGCACTGGATTGAAGGAGGAAAAATATCCATATAGGTCTAAACTCAAGGACATACTAATACAACATAATGTAGAATTAAGACATGACCTTGGGTGTTAATAAATCCAACATTTTCCTTGAAAATGAAGATAATAACAAGAAATCTTTTAAAGCCTGTTAAAAAGTCAGTTAGACGATGTCTATTCAAAACCCTCCAGTGGCTTCCCTTCTACTCTACAGGAATTTACTGAATCTTCACTACCCTTCCACTCCTTAACCTGCACGCCCTCCTCCCCTTCCTGCTACTACTCTCTGGGCTGGCGCCTTATTGTTCTGCTACACTGACATTCTTAGGGTTCCTACAAGCTGTGCACACTCCTGCCACAGAAATTTTGCACTTACTGTCCCCTCTCTTTTCTTTGCTCTTTGGTCAGGTTTGTCATTAGGGATTTCTCACTTCAAGTCTTGGCCCAGATGACAGAGCGAAGTGTTCTTTGTTTAAAAGTGCAGCCCCGCCCTTCACACTCTCACCCCCAGCTTTCCAGTTTCTCCGTAACTTTTACCCACTTTTAAAAGGGGCCGGCGCGCGGCCCACTACTCCTCAGGGCGGGAATTCCAAGCTAGGGCCTCTCCTCTCCGCCCTCCTCTTTTCCAGTCTCAACAGCGGCCCACTCACCAGGTTGCGGAGCTGCGCTGCCTGCTCCTTGTGATAGTCCAGTCGTCCTAAGGAACAGGGCCGGTACTTGTCCACCCAGAGACTCATGACAGCTCAGGTTCGCGGGGTCCAACGCTTGAAAGTCCCGTGCGCGCGCTCTCCGCCGGAACGCTGAGACAAGTTTTCCCGCTAACTACAGAACTCGAGACGTCACTACCGGCCGCGGCTGCGGAAAGCAACGTAATGACGAAAAGACGAAGAAAGCCCAGTGGGGACAAAATTCATCCCCGCGCCGGTACGACGTAATTACAATGTTCTTTGTTTTGTTTAATCGTATCTTCTTTATTCTCATTTTGTGCGTTGTTTTAGAAACCGTTCCTCAGAATTAAGACTATATATCGGATACTCTAAGCGTCAAAGCTGAGTATCTCAGAAAAGGCACTTTCCTTGACTCATTTTACTCACTGATATAGTATAATTGAATAAATTTTTTCCACAGAAATTTACTCGACAGGTACAGGGCTACCTGTCGAGCTCTGTTGTTCGCACGAGAATACATCCAGCTGGAGGTTTCTCACTGGGCAGAGAAACTCACTGGTAGAGTTTTATTGAATAAATTGCTTAAATAAGATATGATCCTTATTTTCTTCCATTCCTCAAGATGCTTACTGGGTTGCAAACAAAGAAATCAAAATAGCATTTAAAAAGTACTACAGAAATATGGCCTGTAGAGGAGAAAACATGCAGATAATATGCTGTTTTAAGTACCGAATGTTTGAAACCTCTTCTAATTAATATGAGTTCTTGAAACCCTGAGGAAAACATCTGGAAATCAAACCCATATAAAACTAGTATTGTACCCTTAAAACTGCATTTCTCAAAATGCACTCTTCTAGTTGTATGTGATATCACTTCCTTATTCAATCTGTATTTTTATTTTATGTATTTAGAGTCCTAAATCCTATCATTTCCGTGATAGGTCTTACAAGATTGATTTCTAGCTATAACCTTCCAACAATGTATTCTATCTCCTCTACTTATTAAACAAGAATTGATTGTGCTGTTCCATCACTCATATTAAATCAGTTACTCCAGTAGGCAAGATATTATTGAGCGCAATAAATAACCCCCAAGTATAAAATAAAAGCCCTATTTTTAAGAAACTTTCTGAGACAAACCTAAGGGCCTTTACCCTTGACTGTTTCCTCCTCCGGGACAACTTTTATCCAGGGTAGGCAGAAATGGATCGCTGATTTCCTCGCATTGTTCTAGTACCATCTACCCAGTGAGAACTCCCTGACTGCCCTAATACTGCAGAAAATGCCCATGTTTTCCAAGATCCTCCCCTACTGAACTAGAATGAAGGAAAAGTGTTTGAAGTGGAGAATAAAAGGAAATAAGCAAAAACATTGAAATGTCATCTTTGTAGTTATCAGTCATGAAAAATGGAAATAATTATTGATAGGAAGGTGAACCAGGTACAGAAATGATCATTGATTTGGCAGGAGTGTCCATAAATATGACAAACAAGTTCAAAAAGGAAAGGTAGTTGTAGTAGATTCTGAAGGCATGGGTTTCATAGTTATTGCTCAATACACTGAATTTGAATTACTGTGAATTTCAGGTTCCTCTGCTCTAAAATGGGTTTTTTGTGGTTTGTTCAAGGATTAAATAAGCTAATGTAAATACTTAGCACATGTAGTCAATAATAATTTTGGTTATATTTTATGAAGATATATATTTATGGTTATATCCACAAAGATCCAGTAGGGAAGGGCATGCAGAGATAGACGACAGTAAGGCTAAATCTTCACTTTGCTTACCTGAGCAGAAGTAATAAAGCTGCCATCTTAAACACGGAACCAAACTTTCCAAAGGTGAACTACTGCTTTTCTTTTTTTTCAATACCAGGGATCAAACTCAGGACCTTGTGCTTCCAAAGCTGGGGGCGAAACCACTGAGCTGAATGCCTGGCCCAAACTATTGCTTTTCTTGGGCTCTTCTACCTTTTGGTGGTTTGTGGCACTGCACTTCTCCTAGGCCAAGCCTGTAATTGAGTCTTGATAGATTCAGAAGACTTTTCTCTAGGCTGGATCCAATTTTAAGGGATGTTATGAGGAACAAAATTCATGATCTTAAGAGCCCAAGAGACCAATTAAGGGGGAAGGGATAATATTACTTCCCTTTTATTTTCTACTCTAAACAATACCTTTAAAAAATTATCATTTTGTCTTTACCCTCCTGTTTTTTAATTTTCTTCTGTTTTACTATACATGCGCAGATTTTATTGAGCACCCATTTTATTTTGGGAGTTAATCCAGAAAATCTTGCTGGCTTATGTCTTCTATCTCAAAGAAAGTGTTCTGACCATTTTTCTTATAATTTATTCACAAATTGGCAGTGATAACATCCAACCATAATTTCATTCCTTTATCTGAGGAACACCAATGGGTAGATTCCTCTATCCATTTTAGAAATAATATTAAATTGTAAAAAAAATAAGAAACAATTTTGAGCAGAGATTTCTCATGGGAACCTTTTATATCACATTTAATTTGTTGTTGTGTGAATTTACCTTTCTGAAATAAGCAAGCATAAATTATGGTTCAAATAACTTGAAAACAATAGCTTAAAACTCCCCAAAAGTGGATAAAAATGTAAAAATCATGTTAGTTTGTAGCAGAAGAAATTCTGTTCTGTGCCTGTATATTTTTTCCAGCTCCCGTGGTTAGTAAAATTTTCTATGGCAAATTATCATACATCATATGACTGAGTTCTGGATATTGGAAAATAAACTAGAGTGATCAATGACACGTTTCCACACTCATCCCATAAAAAGCTCCTGTGTGCCCCAACATACTCTCTTTGCTCATTGGTCAGTTTAATATAGGGAATCTGGTGGAGGACATTGAGGTTTCAGATGACACTTGAGGCACTAGGAAGAAAACCCAGTTCCTGTGTATTGGCCTGAATTGCACTCCATAAACAGAACAGCCAGTTTCTCAGGCAGATGTTTGGATAGATCTGCAGTGAGCAACTAGGGAAAGTGAAACAGTAGGGTGAACAGCCTGTGTAAGGGTTTTTATTAATCAGGTTCTCCTCTGTAAGCAACTTGGACTTTTCTAAAATTACTATATGTTTGTGATTCAAAGAATAAATTCATTGTGAGGAGTTGTGTGTACATGTACATTTCACATCTTAATATTTTTACTTCCCCTTCACCTCCTTTAAATTCACTCTCCCTCCATCTCTACATCCCTTTCTCATATCCAAAAGGACTATCTACCTATTTCCTATTATCGATTTTATTTTTCTCTTTAAATTATTTATAGTTTGGGTTTCTCATATAAGAGACACCATGCTATCTTTAACATTTATGTCTGATTTATTTCACTTAGCATTCTGGTCTCAATGTGCATCGATTTTCCTGCAGATGACTCAAATTTATCCTCTTTATGGCTGAGTAGTACCCCACTGTGTATATATACCATATTTTCTTTATCCATTCATCTATTGATGGGCAAACAGGCTGTTTTCAAGATTTAGTTATTATTATTTGTAGTGCTATAAACATAGATATGCATGTATCACTGTAATATGATGTCTTTAACTCTTTGGGGAAGATACTCAGAAGGGGAATAGCATCTATGTTCATTAAAGAGATTGGTTTATAGTGTTCTTTTTTAGTTGGACCCTTATCTGGGTTTTCGAATCAAGATAATGCTAGCTTCCATGATGAGTTTGACATTAGATCTTCCCTGATGTTCTTGTATAATTCACCAGTGAATCCACAATAGCTGCATTTTAATTTACACTGGGTCTTGCAAATATGTAGCCAGTGCTGTACCTATTAAGTTCCTGTGACCCTCACTATATGCTATCATTCTACATTCTGCTTTCCATGAATTTACTCTACCTCATGTAGGTGGAATCATACAAAGTTTGTCCTTTTGTGTCTGATTTATTTCACTTAATGTGTATGAGTTTCAACCATGTATCAAATTTCATTTTTTAAGGCTGAATAATACTATTCTATGGTTATTATACATTTTGTTTATTCATTTGTTGATGGACATTTGAGTTGTTTCACCTTTGGCTATTGTGAATAACATTGCTATGATCATTAAAGTGCAAATATATCTGTTCATGTTCCTGCTTTCAGTTATTTTGTATATATACCCAGAGGATGAATTGCTGGATTATATGGTAATTTTTTACACTTTTGAATAATTGTCATACTGTTTTCCATGGTGGCTACATTATCTTACCTTCTCACCCACGATATTTAAGAGTTCTAATTTCTCAACATAACACCAACCAATTTTAATTTTAGTCATTCTGATGGGGTTGCAGAGTAATATTATATAGTTTTAATTTCCCTAGTGATTAAAGCACTTTATCAAGTGCTTATTAATGAACACAACATTCTTTTGCCTATTCATGTCTTTTTTTCAGTTTTTATTATATCTTATTATTTGTTCCTCTTTTAAACATATGTATTGAAAATTCCAATGTTTAGTTTGGCTTTGAACACTCTTAAAAGCCTTTGTCTACTCCAGAGTCATAAGATGTTTTTCTACAGGATAAAAAAAATTATTTTATTCTCACATTTAAAGTCCTCTGGAACTGATTGTTTTGCATGGTTTATTGCATAACTTGTGAAGTCATATATTTCTCCATGTAGATAACTAGTTTCACCAGCACTATTTATGAAAAAAGAACTTTCTCCCCTGTGCTTCAAGGCCAGCTTGCTATAAATGAAGTTACCATATATGTGTGGATTTGTTCTGCTCTTTGAGTCTATTTGTCTATCTATATCTAGATATCAGGCTGCCTTGATTACTGTGGCATCATTCATAGGTCTTGACCTCTGATGGTTTGACTTCTTTTGGTTTTCTCATTCAAGATTACCTTTGCCAGTATTTTCCCTCTGCATTTCCATATAAATATTGGAATCAGCTAGTAAATTTCGCAAAAATCTTGTCTTAGTTTGTTTGGGATTGGTAGTGACAGGCATTTAAATCCATATTTGAACATTGTGAATTTCACCTTGTTGGTCTTTGAAATCATAAAATATAAATTGCTATACTCGAGCACATTACAAATCTGTCACCTATTTTATTCAGGCCTGTATAGATGCAGCTGATATTCCAAAGACAAGAAAGCACTTCTTTTCTGCATGATTTAACTGTGATATATATTTAACACATCTTCAATTGCCCTTGCTACTTTCTTGAAA